AACATCAGCATGTTACAAGGGAGGGCAATAACACAAGGAAACATTCGCCTGCCTAGGAACTGTTTCTCCACTCTACTATCCATTCCCTAGAACAAAAACAACAAAACCTAACCAAAAACACAGAAACGTCAAAATACGGTACTCTGTGGAAAGAATGCGGGGGTAAGGGCGAGAGGAGATAAATAATTACCAGCGATAGAAGTAAACAACGTGACAAGATAAGACGACGATAAGGACAAGGACGGGACATAAAAAGTTGAAACAACCCTTCCTACTCCGGTTGTTACAACAACGTTCACAACTATATTTTCTTTACATAGCACGACTCGATATGCACCATACACCTAAATTCTGAAATAAACATGTTTCACGTTACGTTCAGCTCAAATAACCATGCCCATTTGTTCAAAACAAAGTACAATTAAATTAAAATAAATTAATCCGAACGGAATCACCCCAGAATATTTTCAGTATTCTATCAACATAAACATATAATCAATAATAATTATAAATATTAATACTATCCAGAAATACGCCATTACCCACGTCTAAATCCTTACTCATGCAACATTTATAATCACCTACTCCTCCCATGTGACACAACGCAAAACTTCTGTGTTTGAAACAGCGTCCTTAAATAACAATATATATAATGTAAGATTTCATGTCGTCACGGCAGTGAATATAAGGATGGCTGCCTTCTGGGATTTTGCGCCGTCATCTGGTAGAAGTTTACTGGCATTTCACAGATGTTTGCTACCCTGATGATTCAGGCAGAGAGCACCTCTAAAACGTCAGTAAACGCGCAATATACCATCGTCATAGACATGATTATTATGAGTTCAGAAGTGACAATTGAAACAAATGATAACAGGTTAGTTGTAAGAAGAAGAAATTGCGTCCTCACTGAACTCACAAACATAGCTTTCTCCTGCACAAACTGTGTGAAACTACGTAAAACTCTAGTTAGTATAGCAACTCTACCGGCCGAGATTCTAACCCGTACACCACACGTCAACGAATGGTTGCATTCAGCCTCAAATTATTTATAATCGACTTTTTCATCACCTGCTTCCTAATAACAATGATAAAAAGTAAAACTCTATTTTCTTCCACAACTTTATATCATTCTAGATTCATCTTCTTCCCGCATGACATGCATCCTTCATGCTACTTTATTCTTATCACAAATTCTGATAAACTGCACATCGACCATAACGACAGCTTAATCATCGGTACATGGCGACCCTTGAAACTTCTGATAACAAAATATAGGCAGAGGACACCGATTTTCGAAATTACAGGGGATGAAAACCAGTGAGTGTACCGTTCACAATTATACGTCACACAAGGTTGGTATGACACTGAACAAATTACGATGTTCCAACGCGCATCCATCTGTCGTAATCAAAACCTCATCAACACCACATTCATCAGCTTATTTCACTTTAACGATAGCGATATTTCAATTTGCTCGCCAGACCTGGTAGCACGATTCCAGTTAGCTATTAGAATGGCTTGTGGTGATACAAATATATTATCAACACAGCTATACTGTGCATAGGACACTCAAATGACTTATTTTTCCACAACTTAATATTTACTCAGCTACGGAAGAAATTGATTCATACAGAAGTCAAGGGTTCATGAAAGTGTTCATAAAACCTCAGCCGAGACAGATAATCACCTGATACAATTTAATCACTTTCTAAGTCTGAACTAAAATTCAACATGCAACATTAACTCCGTAATGATGCTTGTTCAATTTTCACATTAAACAACCACTGTTCTTCAGAACTCCTACATCTCTGCGTAATACTGGTTTTGAGTGCTACGCGTGATTCATAACGGTAAACCTTTCTTTTAATTTATTGTTGCAGATTTTATCTTTTCTTCAATACGTAATTTTCAAGATCAATTACAACTTAATTAATTCGTGTAAACTTTGATTCCGTGACGAAGCAGATCAATTTTAAAACATTTAAAATTTTATTTATAAATTTGGAAAGCTAAAGCAATGTCTGTTAAGATAAAATGACTTGCTAGTTTCTGCTTGCCACAGGCGAAAGAATAATTCAAGCGATGATGATATTTTAAATATTTTAATGGATGTAAACTAAAATCTTCCGCGAATAAATTCATAAACCAGCCGACGAATCTTTTAAGACGCTTACTGAATTTCTCGATTGTAACTATATTACATAGCCAATGTTATAGTCAGAGATATACCCTCTGGTTTAAGGACATGGGGAAATATAAAGTTTCCTCAGACTGCAATAAGTCATAATGTCAAGGCTTTATCATTATTGACTATACGTGGCACATCGCGAAATGAATTCTGCATTTAATTCTTCATGTATAATCCAATAAAGATTTTGTGTTTGGAATTTATGGCATACTCCCTAATTAAACAGATGTTTTCAATAACGGTCATAAAATATAAACTAGACTGTTTAAATTAAAACTTCAAACTCGTAATTACAAATGAGTTGAATGCTAAAGGAATATTTCAGAGGTTAATATTTATGACAACTTCCATATCTGCATCAAGAAGAAATATGAAAGTATTCGTAACCAAGTCAGCACTTGCGTCATCTTGGTTTGAAAGTAATTTTGTTGTCTGGACGAAAATGGGGTCTTGGGGGTAATTAAGGCTCGCTGAAAGTTTTACAAATGTTATTTACGGTGGTGCTATTGCAGCAGAAGCAACGTAAAGCTCTCTGCCATTATCAACAACCCCTTAGCTGCTGCCATGACGGTCAGGAACCATTTCATTTGTCTCTTTCTTTCTCCTTCGTGCACTTTCCTTCGTTTTCATTCTTCTGCAAATATCCTTAAATTCTTCCTACAGCTATAGAGCATATTCCTCCACAGAAATTACACAACTTCTCTTACACACAGATTATCTGTCTTATAAATAATAAAATCAAGATATACTGGCCTAATTTTTAGTCAAGTACAAAAGTAATAGGGTATAATAAAGATTATGCTTAAACTGAAGTATCTGCTACTTTTCTTTAAGACTTTAAAATCGTAATAGCTCAGGTGTATGTAAGGTTATACTTAAGATAGTCCTTATACCAAGAGCATGAAAACTAAATTAATAAATTTTATCTGTTTACACACCCCAAAGTTGTTTTAGTTACGTGTTATGAAACATATTCTTTCTAACAAAGTCAAGTGGAACATAAATTAATGATATTTTTTGTTTACTACAAACGCTTCATTTCTCTTACTGTCAAGTAAGCGAAAAATTCTACAGTTGAAACTATTCATAATCAGTTCGGACAATAAAAACTGCAACTGGCCCAGGTACCCAGAGTACTGTACAGTCCAGGTCGAGGTACTGACACCACAGTATACTGATTTAGAAAACAATATTTTAAATTCAAAAGACAACAGCGCATGTATAAACGTAACAAATTTAAAAACGTAGACCATGCATATTATTAGAATATATTAATTTATTTGCCATGTCTCCCTCTAACCATGATATACAAGAGAGGTATAATTGCAGAAAGACAGATTAATATAAGCTTACATACATTTACAGATTTTCATTTAAGCCTGCATATTGTTTAAGCTCGCCCTGTAATAAACAACAGGATAATCATGGCTCTGTCATAATACAGGTTTGTTATACCTGCTAGATATTATTACATTGAACTTGTATTATTCAGCTAAATTATTTTTCACATATCTAAACACAATTGGAATCCTTTTGGGTAATTCCAACTTACCCCATACTATCGAATTAGGATAATCCATGGTTTAGTGTTAATTACAACTGGTTTAAGAAAGCATGTTGTAATGTAACCACAAATCGTTACATACTCCAGAATTATAATATAATATATTTTAGTTATCGTAATATCTTCCACAATATCAAAACTGAATACTATTGTGTTTCTTTCTGAAAAAATGAAGACCCCTTTCATGATGAAGAGCACGTATTTTTTTGAAGTGGGTTTTAAAATTGGCGGAGCTCCTATGAAAAATGACTCCTCATTTAGCCTAGTTCTGTAATGTGTCATATAAAATTTCAGATTTTTAGCACTGTCATGGAAACAGTGTCACTTTTCAGGAAAATGTTTGTAGCGGTATATAAATAAATATATGTTAACACCGTGAACATGAATTCTATCGCAACTTCACGATACTGCATACGATAGTCCTGAATTCCATACAGACAAATGGTTATCTGTGTTCTTGCCAAAAGAACATAAACGTAGGAAGAATATAAGGTTTTACTAATTAAATATAAAATTCATATTTAAAAATACAAAAACGTAAATTAAGTTTCAATACATTTTCTTATTGCCTTACGGTATTGAAACAAAGCAAAATATATTAAAGGCAACGTATGCCCTAGCTATTACAATACATGTAATGTATACACAGCACACAGCAGGGCGATTAAAACGTAATTAGGACTAACATTTCAGATTTTGCTTGAACTTATCACAAAAACTTACAACTTTCAGTAACGGTGTTTCAAAAAAACACACCACAGACTTTCCGAATATATGTCAGGCCTAAATATTCTTGACTGTTTATCAAATACATTTATATATTGGGCTGTTTTATACTTGGTTAAAATGGTTAGTTCTCGTAAAAGAAATATTTCTCACACCTCGCTTGCGTATTATAAAAACTGTATCCTATACCGACACATTCAAAAGTCCTTGTACACATGTAAGAACAACTGTTGGAAGTGACTCAAAAATCTGCACACACAAACTTGCCATAGAGCACGTGTGCTATCTAGAGTGTGTGTGTGTGTGTGCACAGAAACTATTAATCCACTTCCATAACTTTTTATTACAGGCGCACAGGGATTTTTAAACCACTAAGTAAAATTTTCACCGCCAAATACCACGTCGTTTACGAAATTCTGTGGTGTCACAAATTTTTAATTAACTCTAGATAAAATCTCAGGACAATATGTTCCGTTTCGCTGCAGTTCTTTTCTATATGTTTCAATATCCGTTCATTTTCAGGTGGGTGTGCCTGAAGTCCGTCAATACAGAGCAATGCCAGATACTCAACAGATGAGCTTCCTTTCCCTCTCAACGACACTGTACCCGATGCATTATCAGAACGGTCAACTCGTCCTCAAATGCACCGCCCACGTAGCCACGTTGTACCGCCAGACGACAGAAGTGCATCTGAGCGCAAGGGCCAGAGAACCTATTCCTGAAAGGGGTACGTTACACGCTTCCATCACAAGCGATGGTCTCCGCCTCTGCTTCTAATCATTTTCGCGGATATTCTGGGATATTAACGTCACGAATTGCCACATACATTTCTCATATTCTCTAAGCGACATGATAATGTTTAACTAATAGCTGAGTGAAAGAAAATAACTGTAGAAACATAAAAACCAAGAATATTTTTTTACATCAGGATAGATCTAATACTTATAATTTATGGAAGAAATTTAACAAGACGGGTGTAATTTACGGCAGCGTTAGTATATGTTGACGCACATTTTAGAATTTTGCGGGGTTCGTAGTCAAATGATATTTTAATTGTAATTAATGGTGAAATTTCCCACTGAAAATTATCCCATAAATTTCTTGTGCCCTTAATAAAAAGTAAAATATACCATAATCCTCTTCTACTAACTACTGGTTACAGTTACTCAGATGCTTCAAACTTCTACTTTCTCTACTGGATATTAGGAATGTTACATGTCCCCACAAGACTTCACATTGAATCACTTAAGTAATTCGAATTACAACTGAGGTTAATCCAAACTGCATACCACATTTTTTAAAACGTTTGTTCGACACATCAACGCGCAGAGTGACACGTCAGAACTGCTCTTTTACAGAAACTTATAGCCTCAAAGTGTCGAACTCTGATGTATGTGTATAACCCTTCAGACACTGTTAAATTACCCGGGGCGCCAATAATTTAAAATAACCTGGCCAACAAAGAAAATATTCAGAACCTTCACATTATTAGTGCCTGCAGCATACACCATATTAACGAACTTGTTTGGAACAGTCAATAAACGTTTTGAAGTTCTGGCCATATACGTTGTATCAAATGGAGACTGTAAATGGCGTTACCGTTATAAAATATGTGCATATATGGATAAAGAATGATTTAAGAACAAATGGATGGAGTGTAACTAACGAATAGACACAATATAAATATAATTCTGCATTCAAATTACTTCAAAATCATAAGAAAAGATACATATATTTCTGAATATTATTTAAATAAAACTGGAAAGAAACACAATTTAAAATTTTAGCATTAAAAACAGAAGCAATGGAAACGCGTGACTATAATATCATAAGGCTTAAATAAGCGATAGAAGGAAGGGTCACTGAAAAGATGTGGATTCAAATTTTTCGGTGATCAGAATTTCAGAATTTAAGAGTACAAATTGCGAACATTCAAATGAATTAACGGTATAATATAAAGAAATTTCAGCAGACCAGACTAAATTATGTTTACGCTGCAAAACACATATTAACATTAATTCAGAAATGGAAGTAAGAGAAAATCCACGTTCGGAAGCAACACAGATGACATTATTAGGACAGTGCCGTGATTTAACAAAATTCGATAAAAAACAGATATAACGAAAAGAGTTCAAGCTCAAAATGTAATTCAGAACCGAAGTGGCTATCAAAAAGAGTTTAAAAACACGAACTGCAGACAAATAGATAACCAAACTTAGCACTGTACTCAAACACATTAGCAAAGGAAATATAGGTCGTCCAAGAAAGAGATAAAATACTGTTTTTGGATTAGAATTGATGCAACGGGCTTTATATGGCTTAAACCCAACTAGTTCATGAAGATGACTATCATATTGAACCTAATAACGGCACAAAAAGTGTAGGAAACGCTGAAGAATCAGAACACTATTTAAATTTTCCGATGGGTGAGGTTTAGAAATTACGCTTGTCGGACTGATTCTAAAACGGACAGCTGTAGCCGTTGCACATCGCTGTTTGCTTTTCGTGTGGTGCATGAATTCTGACCAGTAACGTCATGGCGTTTGCTACGAAAGATTAGTACACCGCAATAGTAAACATTCGTGACTTTTTTATTATTTTGTATTTGTTATATTTGCATATTCCACCAACCACATGCACCATTACATGCATATTCAACACCTGTTACCTGTTTATTCGATTCATGTAAATCACTCACCCCCACTTCAAGATATAAATTAAAATAAAACGTAAAAAAAGAAACGATTTTTAATTTACAAAACCGAATTTAAATGTTTATTATATATTACGGTCGCCAAAACTACACGGAGCTAACACCCATCAGACAGCCATATTCATGAAAGAAAATATTTCCATCAGTGATACAACATTAAATTTAATTACGATTTTAGTCTTAAACACGGAGAAAAAAACTTCGATTGCCAGGTATCGTGTGAATAACAGCACTTCGCAATCGCCGTCACATTTTAATGATCAATAAAGCTGCTCCGTCCATACATCTTCTAGATATTGGCAGTCAAGTCCCTTTAATTTTCTTTCTCAAATTCATTGCTCTTTTCTAAAAAAAATACCATGTGTAGGTTCTCTATTCAATACATGGCTACTAAATTACGTCAAAACGACGCCCTCAGAATATGAGTTTATAACAGGAGCTAAATAAACAATCTTGCATTTTCTATGCTACAAGGTCACAAATCTAAATAGTGGATACGAGATGTCTTGATGGAAAAATCTTAATATAAAATGGAAATTTCGTGTTTTTCAATTTTTCGTCGCTTTCCTGTCTCCGTATCTGTAAAAAAGTGCAGTTAATTTCTCTCCTACATTGTAAGAGTAGAACAATACGAAGGAAAAGCAGGATGCCATGAGGGTGGACTCCATCACCGTGTCCAGACAACTGGTTGGTTGTTTTCTGTCTAGTGGACAAATATAATTAAAAAAAAAGAACTGACCGCCTGGGACTAACAGTGAACTAACGCACACTTTATTAAGACTGAGAAAAACTAAACATTGCTTCTATAATTCCACTTTAAAAAATTTCGAGTAACTGAAATTTAAAGAAAACAAATAGCATTTGGCTTAGCCCGCCTCTGCGTACAGTATAGAAAAAGGTTATAGGTTACATCTGTATCATTATTCAATATTTTCCAAGTTTGCGGTTTAGTTCATTGTTGCTCTCAGATCTTCAATTATGAAACAGCCACTGCAAGGGGAAGGAGAGACGTAGCATTGCTGTAAGTTCGAGACAAATTTATGTTGTTGTCAATTCCTTTATTTAATTAGAAACAACGTCGAATATTTTAGTCGAAGACACAAATGTTCCAGGCGACACGTTTAAATTGAAGGGATTGTTTTCTAACCCACTGAAGCCGATTGGACGAACGACTGAGCGAGAAAGTTCAGTCGTGACAGCGGTCTGGAATGTCAATACGCGAGCTCTATCGTTAGTTAGTCCCTGCCGCTTTGTTTTTAAGATTGTGAAGATATGATTTCCAGCGGTTTCTTTGCGTTTGACGCGGAAATAACAACCTTAGGTTTCTTTCCCATCAAGTTTACAAACCGTCCTACATCACGTGTTACTTTAATCTTGATGGTCATCTCCGTTTAGAACTGAAGTTCATCTAAATAACATAAACATTCATATTTTTTTTTAAAAAAAGCACAACGCGTCTACATCACGAAAATCAAGTTATTCAAGCTTTTCAGGTAAATAATCGGTTTATTTAGATAATTATACAGACCCCATAAATACAACCGAGGAACCATGCAGAGTTATTGGATGGTAATGCAGATCGTACGTTTAGTTAAAACCGCGTTTTAGAAGATTAATCTATCCGAGTCGCAAGGAAAACAAACTACATGAACTCTATACCTGTTCCATACGTAAGATTTTCATAAAGGGACTGACACATTTAAACAAGATGAGAACTTAACTGTCAGATATATTCATCAACATATCAGGGGCACCTTCTAAATTTACCCTAACTCCATAAATGTAAACATTAATAAATTCCATTATGAATGAATGATTACTAAGACATTTAGATTTGAGTCTTTTGTAAAATGTATAGTCCAAACGTACAGAAATTATTTTCCTTTAAAATATTTATAATTTTCATTACATCAATTAATTCTAGTCCAAATTAAAGATCCCGGCAACTTCAGAACAGGAAGCAATATGCTAACCACTAAACTTCCATATTCTATGCTGCAGTACGCGTTCAATGTCATATTTGAGCATAATTACAGCGTGGTTTAGAAATGTAGGTCTACGCAGAAAATGCGCGCATGTTTCATGCTGTTTGCATTAATAAAAATATATATACTGAAAATCACAAAGTACAGAAATAGACTTTATATTATTCCAAGTTATTATTTAAATCCGAGGCAAAATCTAAATCATCAATTCCATATTTTCAGATCCCTCACACCGCTATCTCGAGGAAAGCAACTTTAACTTCGTAAAGATAGAATAAATCCATTTCTTTCACTAGGGTTTTACGCCATTCAATCTGAGGAGGGATTCATCGTGAAACCATTAAAACATAATACAAAATGTGTCCTCTAACACAAAAGGACTGTTTCTATTTTTTATTGTGACAGTCATATTTCAGTACTTTCCATTTGAAGCGTCGTTTCACAAAGAATGTTGAGTTCATTACCTTTATACGGAGGATCGCATTTAAATCCGTTGCATTCTGACTTTCTTTTCGTTCAGTCAAAAGAAACGAAATGCCAGCTTCCAGTACTCGCCAATAAATTTTTTTCCAATGTGTGACGTTGTTAAATATACGTGTTTTGTTACTTCTGTAATCAATTTTCTAGGTTCCTTACAAACGTGAAAGCGAAAGGCAAAAGAAACTCTGGACAGTACAGCAATCATCTTAAAAAGTTGTGTAATTTCTGATCCAAAATCGTGATGGGATCGTCATCCTCCCTTCGTTGCCTATACTCCATGTCAAAGTACTTCTCCAACTCAATAATTGACAATTTTCTGCTGGGAATTCTCTTTGAGTGAGTCGCTCTATGAGTTCGGGGTAAAACTACTACAGGGGGAAGTTAGGAGGACGAGCTGAAAAGACTTTCTTTACACTTTCCCGTCGACCTAACGAAAATTTCCAATTGAGTTACAAAAGTGGTTGACACGAAGGAGGTCTGCACGAAAGGAAGGAAGAACACAACAGAAACTTGCGTATGATAAAACCAACTTACTGGAATAGGCCTATA